GCTAGATTACAATATTATGAAACGCCAATTAGAGAATTTCAAGGATTATTTTACATTGATGATTATGAGATATTTTCAATTTCCAAGCATTCGTAGTAAAATTGAGGTTATGATTTAATAAGTTGAAAAGAAATGGTTAAGTAATTTAGAGTAGGGGATTAATTATTAAAACTTGGAATAAGAAGTGAGGTATTAGATTTAGTCGTAAGCCACGGGGATTAACTATGTAATTATAGATCAGGTGATCCCAGGTTCATGATTATGATGATTTCAAATGATCAGATTTGTATTTATTCATTACATGCGCCTATAACTCGTAAAGTTATAAACCAACTTAGTATAACGTTCGTAGGAATAAGAAAATAATATAATATATAATATTTAGAATTCATATTTTACATCAATCGGATGTCAATATTAATTTTCTATATATAAATATATATAATTTGTTTAGTAAAAAAAAAAAAAAAACTAATGTTTAATTCCGTATTGATAGATCAATAAATTTAATCATGAACTAATTAAGTTTAGAGTATATTCTTATCGTACTTATTCTCTAAAGTATTATCTCTAAATATATACTAAGCTATCAAATACGATATATATAATGAATCCTCGATTAAACTTAAATATTATCAAATGATGAATAAATAACTGCACAAAGAGCTTGCAATTCTTTACAATCCTTGATAACCTGCTCAATGAAACAAGGTTATAAGTATTAATATTCACTAAAATTTTATGTGATACATTTGTCAGAAAAACTTACATCTAAAAATTTATTTTGAACACTACTAAGTATGTTATGTGCTTCCCTGGCTAAGTCCGGTAATAGTTTCACAAGTGTAACATTCTTCTCAGTTTGCTCACTATCTTGAGAAACGAAATGTATATGTAAGTCCTGTTGCATCAAAGAAAATGCCGAAGATACACATCCGGATAATACTGTAGCGAAATCCTGACTTTCAGACACGAATTAGAAATGAATTCAATAAGTATTAACATTAATTAAAATTTCATAAACTATAAATACCCATGCAAGAAATCTTTTGTCTCATCCAACAAATTTCTAAGCTTTGGATCGATTTGATTATCAAATTCTCCACCACCACCTTGATCAAGCACTCGCAGTTCATCAGCCTCGTCTTCGGGCATCAATACGTTAAGAAATCTGATGAAACACAAAATGATATATTTTTTTAAAATAATGATCCAGACCAGAATAGAAGATTACATAAAAGCTAATCAACAAGCAGTACTCATAAGGTTGACCATCTTCAGTTCTCTCAATTCGGGAACGTATTTCAGACA